TGGCTGACTGGAGTCCTGTTTGGGTTTCTTCTCTGCTTTCAGGAAGGCCCAGTTAGGATATCCACATTGCTCTAGAGCCTGTCTTGTGTGAGATTTCTCCTTCTGCCTGGCTCCTGAGTTAGTGGGGACGCTGTCTGCTCTGTGGTACAGAGTCCTGATGACTCCTAACTTGTGCTCCAAAGGGTGATGGGAGTCAAACTGCAAATACTGGTCTGTGTGGGTGGGTTTGCGGTACACCTCGGTTTGCAAATGTCCTCTATCAGAGACTGAGACCTCACAGTCCAAGAAAGCCAACTTGCCATTTTTTACATCTTCTCGTGTGAACTTGATGTATTTATCCACAGAGTTGATGTGGTCAGTAAAATGTTGGACTTCCTGAGATTTAATTTTAACCCAGGTGTCGTCAACATACCTGAACCAATGACTTGGTGGTGTCCCTGAAAAGGACGTCAAGGCTCTCTTTTCTACCTCCTCCATGTACAGGTTGGCAACAATAGGAGAAACTGGAGACCCCATAGCACACCCATGTTTCTGCCTATAATATTGCTCCCCATATGTGAAGTAGGTTGACTGCAGGCATAACTTCAACAAGACGGAGGGTTTTTCCCTGAGGTCAACCTGTTAGCTTAGCTTCTCAGCTTAGCTGCTTTTAACGACCCAAACACGTGATTTTGGATGATTAAAACAGATTTTAAAGGGGAAAGAGAAAGGGAGGGGTCAGTGAAGAGCACCAGAGTTGATCTTTTGTCATCCAGTGTCTTCAGTAGAAAGAGAGAGACGAAGAAACGATAAAGCTGTTAAATGAAAATGAGGTGGATCATTTTCATTTAACATGCGATTAATTGATTTATTGTTTATCGCAACAGGCCTAAGGGCTAGTACTACAAAAAAGTACTTATTAGTACAAACTACAAAGTAGTACTACTACAAAGTAGCAGTAAGTAGGAGTTTATTTGAGTATTTATATAAATAGACTTTATAAACCCTTCCCACACTCTTGCAATATTCTAAACAATGTTTCTAAACTAAACGCTCTAAAAGAGCAGCAGGTCATGATCTCCGCTCTCTGCTGCAGTCACACTCCTCACCTGTTCCCAATCTCCCTCTTTCTGTGTAAATAAACAATTTAAATACTGTAACATTTTAAATAACCAATTGTTTATTTAAAATATTACAGTATTGAAATTTAAATTGTAGAGAAGAGCAGCAGGGCATCACAGGATGTCACACAGCTTCAGCTCTGCAGCACGGAGCAGAGATGTACTTATTAATCAGTGACACTGAAACAACTGAACATAGAAGTTCTGAAATAATTTAAAATAACTTTTAACACTTTTAAATTTTGTGATTATGGTGATTTTATCATGTGACACACTTTGAATTTTAAGTTGAAAGACAAAAGTCGATCGGTGCATCTGGACAGCAAAGGGTTAATCTTCACAAAGCTGCTGCAGAAATGTGTGGCAGAGAAGATCAGCTGATCAGCTGCAGGAGGGAGCTTCTCCTGCACTTGTGGGCTGCACACGTGGTGCTAAATCATTTAAAATAGTTTAGTTTAAATAAACCCATGGCTCATCCATCAATCAGCCAACTGTGTCATGTCCAGTCTTACTTTGAAAAACTGCGAGTGAGTCCACGAAAGTCAAACGGCGAAGTAGTGAGGGACTACTGTAATCCTGAATGATACGCCGACTGTCTGGCTCTGGGAGTCACAAACAGCATCACTTGATGGGATTATGGCTCATCATTAAATTTATGACAACATCAAAATGGGTTTTCTATCTCATTTGCTGTTTTGCAGCAACTAGATTATATATATCAAGAAAAATGCAACATAAACTGCTTTCCATAAAGACATGGCAACTGGATCAGCAAATAAATGACAGTCCACTCAGGTTTAAAGCGGTTTCCCTGCTGCTAGTGCAGAACATCAAGGCCAGTGTGTGAAGACAGTACCTTCCTGCTGACTAGGAACCAGCTGGGTTTGTGCAGAGGTCTGAATGCTGAAGAAACCTGGTGTGAGTTTGAGTGAAGGAGGCCCCTGGTGGCCACTGATGATCCATACTGTCCCAGGATGCTGCGACTCTGAAACAAACACACTGGACTTGAACACGGTATCTTCACACAAACAGCAGAGATTAGTGTTCAACTAGTCCAACCTACAGGTTACAATAACAAACTTCAGACATCCCATAATACCATGTGGTGTTTACTTGGGTTCATCATACCTGCTACACACAACTGTTCCGATCAACGAAACATTTAGTCTCAACACCTGAGAATGTGTGTCTGCTTTAGAGTGTGAATAAAATCATGAAACATCTCACTTGGTTCTAGTTTATAACTAGCCTTCAATACTTTTAGCTACTAGCCCGGCTTTTACTACCTTTAGCCAGCCTCTTGATACTTTTAGCTAGCTTCACGACTATTTTAGCTTTTAGCTAGCCCTTTGTTACTTTAAGCATTTAGATATCCTTTTGCAACTTTTACTTATCCTGTTTTTATTTTTAGCATTTACGTATATAGCATGTTGCTACTTTTATCGTCTAGTTAGCCTTTTGCTATTTTGAACTAAAATTTTGCTATTTTTGGCTTCTAGCTAAGCTTTTGATTTTTAGCAGTTAAGGCTGATTGGTAACTCTGAATTGTCCCTAGGTGTGAGTGAGAGAGTGAATGGTTGTTTGTCTCGTTTGTCTCTATGTGTCCCTGTGATGGACTGGAGACCTGTCCAGGGTGTACCCCGCCCCTCGCACACTGATTGTTGGACATGGGCACCAGCGACCCCCGTGACCCAAAATGGAATAAGCGGGTAAAGATAATGGATGGATGGAAGATAGCTTTTTGCTACTTTTAGGTCTTAGCTAATTTTTGAACCTTTAAGTTAAAAAAAACGTTTTAGCCAACCGTTTCTTTCATGAGGTTTTTCGATAGCCTTTGAATGCTTTTAGCATTTAAAACTCTGTTTCATCTTCTGCAGCTAACGTCAGCAGTCATTCAGCTCTAAGCGTTCTCTCCATCTGTTCACAAGAAATATAACTGATTTGGTCTTAGCTTGTAATATTAGAGACGGACTGACTGTCCAATCAGCTGAAAGGAGGTCAGCATCTGACAGATACTCGCTGGCTCGGCCCACATCCTCCATGTCAGAGAAGAAGTCCAGATAGTTCTGATGAAGGTACAAGCTGAAAACCTCTGCAGACATCTGTGAGCGCTCCACAACCAGCTGAATTAAAACCAAAACAGAATCAGTTTTAAACGAACAAAAAGTGAGTATAGCACCGGGTTGTTTATTCGAATAAAGTGAGGAAAGAATTTACCTCTGGGTTAATCAGTAATGGTTCTCTGTGATGATGCGAGAGGTGACATGACAAACCAGGTTCAGGAGGACTTGTGGTTTCATCAGCAGCTTCAGGATTCTCTCCTGTTTAATACAAATATGGATCATTTGCTTGATTAAAGCACAGGACTTTCAGCAGGTAAAACCCACAAACAGAAAATTTTTTAATTTGGATTTACGTAAGCTACGATTCCACCCCGATGATTCCAGACTCATGAGGTTTCATTAAGGCTGGCCTAACTCCACCAGTACAAATATCTGTGACGAGTGAAACCAGCAACAAGCTGAACGTTTGTAAAGTGAATTTTCTGTTTAGTTTTTGACAAGCTACTGTTGCACATTGAAGACTGATTAAAAACCTACTGAACAATAAGAGCTCTTTTTATCCCCAGAAAGTTTAATTTTACTCTGTGAACTGCAGCAGAAACATACAACATAATGTGAGGCATTGTTGGTCTGACACAAACCAGTTCTTTAAAGTCACTTATCATTTTAAACTTATTTATTTTTCCCATACAGGCTGAGCATTTCCCCTGCATTATTCAAGGAGGGTGACCCGCCCTCCCAACAGAACTGAATGAAAGCTGATTTGATCCTGCATGTGCAGCTAGGTGGACAAAGCCACCAGTGTCTGCCTCTGAGCCAAGAGCTGATAAGGTTTTAAAAACAAACCCGGCGCGCTGCCCGTGGCAGGTTCTCGTGACAAGGCTGCGTGCATGGAGAACTTCTGCACATCTGTGTAAGCTGTTGTGAAAGTCTGTCCTTGCAAGTTAATCTGGTTATAAATCTTCTCACGTCCTCAAGTGTGGCTTCTTTGAGTAAGTAAGATGAAAAGAGGATATTTGTATCCAACAAATATTCATATTAAAAGAGCTCTATTTTTATGCCCAATATAATTGCAGTTATATCTCACTTAACCTTTTTTTAATCCTCAGTTTTCTCTCTGTGAGTCAGTTTCATGTGTTCGTAGATGTAACCCACATGAAACATTGGGCTACTGAACCCATATCTGTAATTTAGGTTGTAATACCAGGGAGGTCCAGCAGAGGGCACTCAGTTTTTACTGAGTTGAATTTAACCAACATGGTTTGGTCATATTTCCATATATTCTGAGGCATGCTCTTTACACGTGCACCGACCGACCAAACTGTGAACCTTACAACATGTCTATGAGTGACAGAAGTGACCACTCATTGAGAATTATCTGTGGAAATCCCAGTGTGAGACCGAGGTGACCGCTTGTTGGGTGATATCTGTGGAAATCCCAGT